ATCCAATTGCCTGTTTCCCTGAAGGTAAATCTACCAATTTCCAAGTACCATTGTCATCTAAGGCATTCATTTCCTCTATCATTGCATTACGCCAACCAGGATGAGAAAAGGCTTCATGAATAGTTTTAGGGATAGTAATAGAATCAAGGGAAGCAATAAAGGAACATGGTGAATGTGACAAATGATCATAAGAAACACAAGAAGAAACAAGATAAGTGCACTGTCGTTTACCTTTTCGCAATGCAATAGGAAGATCATCACTTGAAACTAGATTGGATGACGAAGAAGTTGGTGCCGGACATGAAACAGGAGCAGGTGGATGAAGAGAGTAAACTTTGACAGCAGCAGGAGCAGGAGCAGGAGCAAGATCAGAGATAGGAGCCGATGCAAGAAGCGTAGGAATAGTGACAGGGTCAGAGACAGATTCTAGTTCAGATATTGGTGCAGGGGAAGTGAAGGTATAAACTAACAAATCATCATTATCATCATCCTTTGGACGATTTGTAGGAGAAAAGGGAAAGTATAGTGTTTCTTCTAGAAAGGTAACATCAATGGAAACAAGATACTTATTAAGACTTGGACAATAACATCGATATCCTTTCTGAAGTCGAGAATAACCAAGAAAGACACATTTTAATGACTTGGGATCTAATTTAATGACTGATGGTCGAACATCCCAAACAAAGCAAGTGCTACCAAATACCCTAACTTCAAGAGGAAATAATGCTTCGTTAGGAAAAAGAATACTGTACGGGGTCTTACCATGAAGGACAGAAGACGGCATGCGGTTAATCAAAAAACAGGCGGTGGAAACGGCATCAGCCCAGAATGGTTTGGGAACATTCTTTTGGAATAATAAGGCTCTAGCAGTTTCAAGAAGATGTCTGTTTTTCCGTTCTGCTATTCCGTTTTGAGATAGAGTATCAACACATGAAGTTTGATGAAGAATGCCATTCTGGGTCATGTAATTTTGAAAAGAAACTGACAGATATTCTTTTGCATTATCACTGCGCAATGTATGAACAGAAACATTGAATTGAGTTTTAATCTCAGTACAAAAAGCAGAGAAATAAGAAAACAAATCAGTACGATTTTTCATTAAGAATAACCAAGTCATACGAGAGTAATCATCCACAAATGTAACAAAATATCTAAAACTAGTTTTAGACAGAACTGGACAGGGACCCCAAACATCAGAGTGAACTAACTCAAAGGGAGAATTATCTCTTTTATTGACTCTAGGACTAAAACTGACACGATGATGTTTAGCAAATTGACATGACTCACACTCTAATGTAGACACTTTATTAAACTGAGGACACAATCTCTTTAGTGAAGGAAGAGATGGAAGGCCCAAACGACAATGTGCTTGAAACGGGGATGCAACACTAGAACAAGTGACAGGTGTAGATTTTGGTCTATCGAGAATGTATAAACCTCTAGATTCATGTCCTTTACCAATAATCTTCTTCGTCGTAAGATCCTGAAACAAGCAATAATCGGGAAAGAATAAAACACAATAATTAAGAGCACGAGTAAGTTGGCTAACAGAAATTAAATTGAAAGAAAAATCTGGTAAATGTAAGACATTTGACAAGGGAAGCTGTGGAGTAGGGGTAACTGTGCCAGACCCAAGAACATAGGATGGTGACCCATCTGCTAAAGTCACATTCGAAAGGGTTTTTGATTGATAAGTAGCAAAGAGACTGGGATTACCTGACATGTGATCTGTTGCACCAGAGTTAATGACGAATTTGGAGGATGAGGAAAGGAGACATGTATTTGGCTTACCTGAGTTAGCCATAGCCATGACAAGAGTAGGTGAAGCCTTTAATGATTCCTGGTACAATGAAAACTTGGCAAATTCATCTATAGAGATAAGAACTGACTGATCTGAAGTATCATTGGTGGATGCATCATGGGCAGAGGGATTTCTTCTATTTCTGTTCTAAAGCTTTCTACAATCACGCTTCATGTGTCCTGGCTTATGGCAATAGTGACACACAACTCCTCCCATATTACTATTTGACCCTTCTCCTTTGTTGCCACTTCCAAATTGTGATCGCCCAGATTCATAGTCATTCTTTTGACTGACGAGAGCACTACTAAACTGAACCAATAGGGTACCTTCTGTGCGAAGTACCCTACTAAAGACATCCTGCAATTAAGAGATCTCTAGACTAGCTAGAACCTGAGACTTAGCAGTCTCAAATTTAGAAGGAAGACCTGTAAGAAAACTCATGACTGCCATTTGCTCTTGTTGTTTTTTGTTGAACTTTGACATCATCATTGAAGGGTAACAACATGTTCAGCACTTCATAAGTCTTCTTAAACTCCATAAAATAAGCTGTAAGAGACTTATCTTGTTTCTCTGCAGGGTAGAATGCCTTACACACTTCATAAATATGAGAAAGATTCCCTTTTCCAGAATACAGAAACTCCAAATAATTCATCAGTTCTTTAATAAACTCACAATGATTAATTAGGCCAAGTACCTCACCGTTAATAGAGTTTCGTATTTGTAGAATCAACCGAGCATCATCCCGGAGCCATGTCTTTTTTGAATCATCCTCAGGTGGATCATCAGTCATATGATCATCTTTATCAATACTCCGCAAATACAGTATAATAGTTTTACGCCAATCATGGTAATTAGTTATACCAATGAGCTTATGTTCTGTAATTTTCGACATCGTCGGTATCATTTCCATCACTGGTTTTGTATCATACATGTCTTAAATAGATGATAATCCCAATGCACACCAACAAACGGTTAAAACAAAGCAAACTAACTAAATTTCAGTGACACACCAAATCAATCAACAGTCACCACCAACCAGAGGCCACAGTAAGCAAAAAACCAATAACCAAACGAAAACAAAGTGCCGAAAGATCACAACTAAGTCCGTAGAAATATCCAAACAAAGAACAGCAATGAACCAGTAAGAGATTACCCAATCCAACATGAAAATGTGCTGTAAAAGTACCGACAAAGCAGACGAAGAGAATCAAAGGAAAAGTCAGCTGTGCACGCGCTCTCATGCGCCGGTGCGTGTTACTATTCACCAGAGTTCGGGTGTCACGTGGAGCTCACGCGCGGTGATTCTGATGGCCGGAAATCAGGGTTTTGTCGATAGAAGGCTTCTGAATGTCCCTTGGGTGGCGGTGTTGAACAAATCTCAACCTAAACAGGTTTTCCCAATTTGACACCTAAACCCTAATTTCCCAATTTTGAAACCCAAACCCTAATTTCCCAATTTTGAGACCCAAACCCTAATTATCTTTTAAGGCTCTGGTACCATGTAAAATAAACGTAATGAATATTCACACTTCTTATTCATAGCTTAAAAGGATACATATTTATATATACTTGTAGTGTTCTAAATTAGGTAGGTGATCAATCTAAATTAAGATAGAAGTGATCCCCATAATCAAGGATTTTAATGTGATCCCTATCATCTAGGAAGTCATATACATCTGTAACAACCACGTTTTTCACTGTTTCTTGTGCTCTTCCAATCTGCAAGTTTCCCATTGAGTTTCTAGCAGTTTTCTCAGGTATGGCGTGGTTTTTTACAATAGTCACACCAAACCTGAGGACGATCATGGTTTTGCTCTTGAGTCTTGACACGTGCAACATTGATATCAGCAACAATAAGGGTCGAGTTTTCAACAGTTCCAGTAGTCCCTTTCTTCCCCAACATGACTCCTCGATGACTCTCTTCACGTTTGACCTCCAAGAAGACTTCTCCAATAGATGGCAGTGGCCGTCTGTCAATAATTCTACCCCGTACTTCATCAAACTCCATGTTCAGGCCAGCAAGGAATTTGTAGATTCGAGAATTCTCCACCATCTTGTTGTAATGGGCTTGATCTTCAGTATTTTTCCACTCATAGGTGTTAAACAGATCCATATCTTGCCAAAGTCCTTTAAGAATGTTGAAGTACTTGGTCACACCTTCACTTCCCTATCGGATTTCTCCAAGCTTCAATTTGATCTCATAGCATTGGGACTGATTCCCAAAATTAGAGTACATTTGATTAACATTATCCCATAGCTCCTTCACGGTTGGATAGCACATATAGTTTGCATCAATATCCTCCTCCATGGCATTGACAATCCATGCCATAATCATTGAGTTTTCTGAATCCCAAGTTGCATAGGAGGGGTTAGATTTCTCGGGTGCCTTGGTTTCTCCTGTTAGGTACCCAATCTTCCCCCTACCTCTGATATACATGCGCATAGATTGAGACCACCTAAAAAAATTTTTTTTCATTCAACCTAATGCTGGTGATTTGGACAGAGTGTGCGCCAATAGGCTTGGCAGTGGTAACAGGTGGTGTTGCCGGAATGGAAATCATAGGAAATTTCTGACATGGTGACAAATGAGAAGGAAGGCTACTAAAGACAAAGATTTAGAGGCTAGGGTTTACAAGGTAAGAGCAACCTGGCTCTGATACCATAAAAGCTTAAGAAAAGATGAATCAAAGTTGTAAGATTTATTCATAAAATAGACTGTACAGCCTCTGGTCTTTATAGGACCGAAAAAGAGAGGAAAAAATAGTAAGAAATAACTACAGATATTTACACTTAGATTATTTCCCTAAATAGCTAGATATATATATAGTAATGTTGACTAAACTAATATTGTACAAATCTCAACCAAATCAAGGAGATTTGGTCAATTAATCAGAAAGATTATTTCCTGATTTCTGTGAATCATGTCAGGATTCTCAACAATTTTCACGTTTTTCATTGAGAATATTTGTGATGTTTGCCATTATGCAATCTAATTTGGTCATGGATGATTCTGAATATACAATATCAGATGCAATATAGTTTTGTTTATTACTTGCAATTAGTTTTCATATATATAGTTATGATCTTGGAATTAATTTTGATGGACCTATACATGCAATTTAATATTTGACTCTAGTGGCATTTGTCGAAAGGTATCTGTTTGGTCTTCTATTTTGGTGATATGGGCTAATGATGACAGGGGGAGCCACAAAAGATTCCAAAAGCTGTTCTTCATCAATTATGCCAAAGATTAGGGTGAGAAGCACCAAAATTTAATAAATTAGTCGAGAAAGAAAATAGTTTCTGTTATTCTGTTATTGTATTACGTAAAGCTAGTGGCAGGGGCAAGAGCAGAAAAGCTGGTGGGTTAATCACTCTTCAGCTTCCCAACCAGGATGAAACCTTGCTGAGGTATTTATATATCATTCTCCTCCACATACACAAATAAATTTATGCTGATAACATGCATAGGACAAGAGATAAAGAAATGAATTGGAAGGTGATCAAATTCTAGAGACTTTTAGCTAGGAGGGTATTGTTTTCTTTTTCCCCTTTTAATTTTTTCAAATTTCAGAAATCTAAATACAATAGGTTGGAAATTTTCTTATTTAATTGCATTTGAATGAAATAGAACTTAATGTTCATCCTGATTTTTCTACCTCTTTAGTATATCTGGAGATTGGAGTCACATTCTACCCTTGACTAAATATGGCATTGAGTGTCACATTGAAACAGACATTCAGAGTATACTTTCATGATATTTAGGAACACCTTTTCTTCTTTAGCAAGAGACAACAAAAATATACAAAATTAGCCTGGGACCCCTTCTTAAGATATAAATGCTTTTCCTTGAACTAACTAGATAAAGTAAGAGCTTTTTTCATATTCAGTGTGTCCAGAGCTCCAGATGCTAAGTTTTCTTTTTGTAGGCGTTGATTCATCTGGTGATATGGACATTGGATCCCACTGGAATAGATAATAGCTATATACTAGTATATTGTTTGGGCATTTTGAAACTGAGGTGTAAGACTAATTATATTCCTCAATAATTTTCAATGAAATTAATTCTTATAAATGGATTTGTGATCCCTTGTTCTCCATGCCAAATATCAACTTATTAAATGCTGGAAGTTACTGGTCTGTACACTTGAATATTTTTTTTTTATTTATATTCAAAATGAAATGTTATTCTGTTGAATAACATGGGTAGTATAGCTCCGAATCTCCAACCAACTTGATCTATGTGTATGGTAACCTGGAGAGGAGATGTAGGAAAATGGTGGGCCTGGTGAAATTTGCATTGATTTAGATGGAGTTCACATTGGGTTGACCATAAGGCTGGTCTATCCCAGAATAAACATTTTCATGTTAATATCCTTTAAAGGTTTTAGTCCTCCCTTGGCTTGTGCAAAGTTTGCTTAGGATTGCTTTGTTCTGCTACCCATGAGGGATTAGCCCGATGGTCAGGCCTGTGGTTTGCTCCAACAAGGTCTGAGATTCGAGCCCACTCATGGGCACTTGCATGGCCAGTAAAGCCATGTTGATCTCAATGATGGCAGGGTTTGTTGGGGGCTCCATTAAAAAAAATAAAAAAATAAAAAAATAAATAAAAATTACTCTTTTCTATTGAATTTAATCAGATGTAATTTCTGAACAAAAACACTCTATGAATGCTCATTTAACAACTTATGTACTTAAGTTACAGAAATATCTGGTTGCAGGATGCACAGAATAGAGTCGCAGCTTTTGCTCTTTATTACCTGTTTCCTGATCTTCCAATTGACCTAGCAATTGCTGAGCCTTATGCTTTGCTTGTTTTGCAGTGGATAGAAGGTGATCCTTTAATCCTCCTGTTGATATCAAAATGCTTATTAGTTTGAAATGCTGTAGTAAGCATTTTGAAAAGCCATGTTGTTGTAGTATCTAAGAATTGCTAAATTTTTTGGGTGCTAACAGGGGAATCATTAACTAAAATTGGAGACAGTGAGGAAGATAGGAGGGCTGATTTTGTGGATAAATTGCTGAGTGAAGATGGTTCTAGTTCCAATGCTGTTCTCAAAGTTCCTGACAGTTTGGTTTCAGATTCATTTCAGAGGTCCAATGTTCAAGAAAATAAAAAATTTGAGAGTTGTAGAAGCCGATCCAATTGCTGGAAGTATGTCCTTTCCTTTTGTTAAATTTTTTAAAATAATAACACAATAGAGTAAAAGAAGATTGGGGAGAAGAAATACAAGAAAAAAAGAGAAGTTGGTTTAACCTCCAAGATTTTTTCTTTTTTTCTTTTACAGGCACATAGTACAAACCCTAATTGGCACTCCAGTAATAATAAAATTGCAGGTTCTAGCTCAATAAGTTCACATCCATATGACACTAAAGAAACCTTAAACATTCCTCTTGTTGCATTCAATGCAAATGATGTAGTTAAATTGTTATTGATAAGGCAACTAATTTCTATGAGATTTTTTTTCTTCTACATTCTTTCCTGTTGAATACTATTATTATTTTTCCCTTCTACTACCTACTGGGTATCCTTCTTGTTTCATATTGAAAGTGTTCTATTACCAATTATTGTGAAGGAAGAATGATAAAGAATAGTAGGAGTGTTCTGTTTACGGGGGAATATTAAGAAGAAAGTATGCTGGGTTATTTTGCAAAGATTAGAAGTTAGATGGCTTGAATTTCAATTAAGCAAAATGTAATACATTGTCGTTTTATACAGTGTAACAAACTATAAATATGTTTGTTTTCTGTTAAAGACTCAGTTAATAAAAATCAATGAATTCCAGAATATTCATCTTTCTTCTCAGCTCTATTTTTCGTTTTTCTTGGTCTCTTTAATTTTCTTGATTCTTCATCTCAATACTGAATTTCTACATGGTATCAGAGCCCTAGACAAGCGTCTATGGTTAATCTTAGCTTTGAATCTTCAAGTTTGAATTCACAATCAACCGATATGGATAATGTTAACACCAACTTTACTACCTCAAACACTACACCCTCTTTACCAACGATTTCGATGAAATTGCTGGAGAAAAACTACTCATTTTGGCGTTCGCAAATCCTACCAGCTCTGGTCTCTCTTGGAATCGATGATTTTGTTACCGGAGAAAGAATCTGTCCTCCTCCATTTGTGTTCGATAAAGCTGATGAATATAGGCAAACTATCAAGAAGTCAAACCCTAACTATTCCTCTTGGAAAAAGATCAATCAATTCCTAGTGAGTTGGTTGTATTCTATACTTTCAGAATCAATGTTTTGTCATGTTGCTAAATGTAGCATTGCTTATGAGATTTGGAGTACTTTAGAGCTTCATTTTCATTCTGTTTCTAGAGCTAGGACCCTGCATCTTAGAAATTTGTTGCAATGCACTAAGAAAGAAAATTGTATTGTTAGTGAATATGTGTTGAAAATGAAGGAGTTGGGAGATGAACTGATAGCTAGTGGTGTGAATATAACTGATGAGGAGTTGTTACTCTATATACTGGATGGCTTAGGGCTAGAATATGACACAGTAGTGGCCAATTTGACCTCCACTAGTAGTCAAACGACACTGCAAGAGGCTCATTTTTTATTGCATAAACATGAAATTAGGCTTGAAAGGCAACATAATGTGTTCTCTAACTTTCATGAAGCTCTTCTGGTGTCCAAACAGCAGAGTCAAACTGATTCTTTTTTAGGTCCTCATCATGTAAATCCTACCTTAACCCCAAACTCTCAGCCTCAAATACACTCCCAACCTCAACCATCTCTCTCACAATTCAATCCTAATACTTGTCAGTTTACTAGAAATAATATGAGTCAAGGCTTTTCCAGATCAGGCTTTGGTCTGCCACATCAACAATCACTCTCTCAGTTTCTAGTGACAAGTGAAGGCTTTAATCCTTTTAATTAGTACCAGGTTTACAACTCACAACTAGTGCGTAGCAGGGGACGAGGAAGGGGTTATTTTAGACCCAACCTGATCTGTCAAGTCTGTGGTAAAGGTGGACATTCTGCCCTGCAGTGTTACCACAGATTTGATCATACTTACCAATACCAAAGTTTTGGAGTTGCTGGAGTCGGTTCATCTGCTAATTCTCTTGGCTATAATGTTGAATCTGGTTCTCAAGGATCTTCCCACTTCAATGCCTCCCAAAGCCCAGCTCAGATTCCTCACTCAAACAACTCAGCACAAGCACTTCTGATGACAAAGACTACTATGGCAGATCAGTTATACAACAAGTCAGCCTCTACTTCGTACAATGGTTCTGGATTTTCTGGAGTTTATCAGCAGAATAACAGTTACCCTCCTCCACAAAATCTGACCTCTCAACTGTTTTCACCCACAGTTGGATCCTCTAGTGTTACTGCTTTACTTGAAGGAAGTCAGTCTTATTTGTCCTCTGCACATAATTCTCACAGTATACCAGTTGCCAATCCTGATACAGTTATGGATCAGACCTGGTATATTGATTCTGGAGCAACTAACCACATGACAGCAGATATGAGTAACCTGGTTATCAAGGACAATTATCAAGGTGGCTCCACAGTTCAAGTGGGAAATGGATAAACAATTCCAGTCTCCCAAACAGGTGTGTCCTTTCTCAACTCACAAAATTCTCCTAGGATCTTGCATCTCAAGAATGTGTTGTGTGTACCACATATAGCAAAAAATTTGTTAAGTACATCACAAATTACTAAAGACAATGAAGTTATTGTTGAATTTCACTCTGACCGTTGTCTTGTAAATGATAAGTGCACTCAAGAGGTACTGTTGCAAGGCTTCTTGAAGGATGGTTTGTATCAGCTGAAAGGTTCTTGCTCATCTGTGGCCTCTTCTATTGGAGGCGCTTCTGGTTCTAAAGCTTTCTGTCATGTTGCTGCTGTCAGCAATACAAGTACTAGTATTAGTAGTAGTGATGATAAGACATGTCATGTTCCTGATTGTTTCAGTCTTACACCAACTGTTAGTAACTCAAATAAAGAGAGTGTATCTCAAATAAGCAAGTCTGATGTACTGTTGACAGCATTGTGGCATGCTTGGTTAGGGCATCCACAAGTTAAAACTCTCAAGGATATTATGAATAAAATTCATGTACATGGTTGTTTTGATAATAAAATGTTTGGTGAAGCATGTCAATTCGGCAAAATGTCACAGACTTCTTTTCCCATTTCTGCATCCAAATCCAGAAGACCTCTTGAGTTGGGGCCCTGCTCCAATTTGCTCTTCCGAAGGTTTTAAATATTATATATTATTTGTGGATGACTATAGTAGATACATGTGGATATATCCACTTAAGCTTAAATCTGAGGCATTCAAAGTTTTTACACATTTTCATAAGTTTGTTGAGAATCAGCTGGATGTTAAACTCAAGACTCTACAAACTGACTGGGGAGGTGAATTCAGGCCCTTTACTGAATATTTAAAAGAGCATGGCATTGGTTTTAGACATCCATGCCCTTATCTACATCAGCAAAATAGTAGAGTTGAAAGGTAGCATAGAACAATCACCAAATTTGGATTAACACTGCTAGCACATGCATGCCTTTGTGTTTCTGGTGGCAGGCCTTCTGTACAGCCGTATACATTGTTAACAAACTTCTTCATCTGTTCTTCACTTTTACCATGCTTCAACACCAATAAACAAGAGAAACCTATAAAAAAGAGCTGACTAAGTTTGAACTGGTATTTTTTCATGAAGTTTTGCTGACATTAAGTGGGAGATTCACAGCAAGAATTCTTCCTCCAATTAGAGAAATATGAAATAGTGTATTCTAGAAATAGTTGAATTTAATTCTGACAAGAGCATCATGGTTTATTTTCTAACTAGATTAAATATGTTACTTTTAATATTGGTGTGGTCTGTTCTCTAACTTTTGTAATGCCAATCTGCAGGAGTGAAAAATCTAAAAGTATCTGAAAGTTCTCATCTGAAACAGGAACAAGAAAAGAAAAGGAAAATGCAGAAATACAAGGTTTGTATATCTTTCTTAATTCTCCTTGGAAAGAAAATTTCTCCAAGGCAGGCGAGCTTTTGGCTGTATAAAAGGTTCCTTTGGCTTTTATATTAAAATTTTCTGCCACCCACCAAAAGCTTTTTCTTTTTCCTTATACATATTAGCTTCTCTGGTTTATAAATGGCATGCCTGTTCTGTTTGGATGATTCTTATTTTTATTATTGACATTGTGTATTAACATTATCAGGAGCCTATTTTGAACATTTTAACTTTCAGAAGCTTATTTTGGCAACTTGTGAAAATTGTTGTCAAGTATTTTCCTTTGTTCCTCTGTATGGGACAATATTGGTTCTTGCAGACACAAAAGAATAGTATTTATTTATTCACTACTCTGTTTATATTGCTGGATAACAGTGTGTCGCAATATTTTGTGCCAGAATCTATTGGGTGTAGCCGAAGTAGTTTGTTTCATAACCTCAAATTGAAGCTGGCATTTTCTTTCTGAAATTTTCAAATATTAAATTACCCTTACTTGCATGATAGTCATAAAAATTTCAGTTTCCTACCTGCATCATTATGCATGTACACTTCATCTGGCCACTATAAATTTCTTGGTTTCTGTTCATGCGTTTTCATTCTTGGACCATAAGTATTCTAAATATTCTGGTTCTATTCATGCATTTTCAATATGGTTGAAGTCGGGCATCTCTTTGTTTGATTATTACATATGTACATGTTTTTCCTTTCAGGATATGTTGAAAACCAGACATGTGCTTCCAATTGCTGTGCTGAAAGGTGATATATTGCAACTGCTGAATGAAGGAGAATAATGTCCTTGTCGTATGTGGAGAAACAGGATCTGCAAAGACTACTCAGGTCAAATTTATATTTAGTCTGTCTTTTATGAATTTTTTTTTTTTTTTTGGATATAATTTGGCCTCTAGACTTTATCATGGCCATTTTTATTTTTATTTTTATTTTTTGGTCACTTGTCTTCTCCTACCTTCCAAGAACCACACTACAGCCTGCTTTCTAACTGGCCTTTTAATGTAGGTTCCACAATTTATATTCGATGATAATGATTGAGTCAGGATGTGGTGGAAACTGCAACATTATGTGCACACAACCAAGAAGAATAGCGGTGGGTACATGATTTTTCAGATTAAAGTATTATTTTCTAATCTTTCTTGGTTACATGATACAATAATACATGACTAATCTTTCTAATTAATTTGTTCATGTTATGTAGAATAAGGAACAGAATCTTGGTTCATTATGGGCTTTATTGTAACTTCTGTTTCTATTAATAGAAAATCATGTATTTAGTTCATGCTCTATTAGCATTTATACCTAGAAGATCATTGTTCCATACCTTTTGGAATGGGTTATTTTATTTGCAACATTGGTTGAGGACTATTTAGCCGACATTTTACTTGTTCTTTGCCCCCTGTAGATAAGCATGATTCAGAATCCAGCTTTTGGTTAGGGGGGTGGGCAATTACATTTTAGGACACTTCAGAGATGTTAATAGTTTTATGGTAATTTTGTGATAGAGGATTTGGACTGTGGGGCTTTTACTCACTTTCTTTGGTTGTTCAATTAGCTATCTCACTTTCAAAATTTCATTCTAATAAATATGTTCTGAAGATCTTTCTCCTACTTACTGTGCGGTTGTTATTGCCTATATTGTGCGTGATATTACTTATTGATGAAAGGTCAAGAGATACGTATCTCTCCTGTTTATCAATAAATTTTAGTCTTACTGGTGCTTTATTGTAAAATATCCTGGAAACATTCGACTTATGTATTACATTTTTGCTGCCTTGTATTTAGGCTATTTCTGTGGCTGAAAGAGTTGCTTATGAGCGCTGTGAATCTTCTCCAGGTTCAGATGGTTCTTTGGTTGGTTATCATGTTCGTCTTGATAGTGCAAGGTATATGTTGGCATCCTTTTCTTATTAATTTTGTGAATCTGCTAATGGCATCACATCACCACATATAATGTTTAAGTTGCATTCATTGTTTCTCTGCATTTTGATGAGATTATGGTCTTGTGCTTTTAGCTTGATATCTGCTGATATATTCAATATTTGGTTGAACTGTTCATAGTTTAAAATATGTGGTCTGTTTTTATGTAGCAGTGTGAGATCTAGTTATCAATAAGGTGTAAGAGGTTATAAAAGGAAGGTGGTTCTTCAGGATTACGGTTGCATTTGCTCCTTTTTTAATGAGATTGCAGGAATTATGAAGGGGTTTTTGTGGAGTCGTAAAGTAAATGAATATAAACATTGTATGATGAAAATCAAAATGAGCTTTGACCAAGGTTAGAAGAAACATGCTGTGGGCGCATAGTTGTCAATTATTATGTTAAAAGCTTATTTATAAGCTGCTATTTGTGAGATCTTGTAATGAGCATGATGCTTGTGGAGTGAACTGATAATTGCTAAACATTAAGCTTGGATTTTTAAGGAGCTTTGAAATCAATTGATGACTTTTGTTTTCTGCCGTTAATTAATCCACTCTTTTATATGTCCTTTACATTCCATTGAACTTTATAACCATTGTGAATTGGAGGATTTTTTTGGGGATTTTCTTGAATTGTTGGACTATTCCTTAAAGCTGCTGTATATATATAATTTTGATCTATCTTATGATCTCCTTTTCTTTTTCCGGTATGACTTAAAAATTCTTCTTTATCTCATTGCTTATGGTACTTTTCAACTTCTACTTTTAACTTTTAGTTTTATCCCCAATTTTGTATTTGACGTTTATTGGATAATATTTGTATCCATGGTTTTGTGCCTTTATTGCCTCCAGGAGAATATAGTCCCACTTTTCTTAGAATATTATTGTCGTTTCCTTTTAACTTTTGAACTTCATTTTGCTTGCATTTTATCTATTCAGGAATGAAAGGACAAAACTTCTGTTTTGTACAACAGGTATTCTTCTGAGGAAAATTGCGGTATGTCCCATAGTTGAATTGAATTTACTTAACGAAATGCCTTAATTATGGTTTATTTTCATTAGTATGGTGTAAGATTATTTCAGTAAGTTGCTTGTCATTAATAATTCATAAGGAGCTTAACATCACTTTTAGTAGTTATTCCATTTGATCTAGTGCCTTAGTATCTCTCAGCCTGAGTCTCTCTGTTGTACTATTATAGACTAAACAATCAGATTTGTATTCACCGGTGAAGACATTGGCTAAGGCTTTTGTCTATAGCAAATAGTCTGTCACAGATTCATACAGTTGGATTTGTAGAGTTTTTGTTGCATAAAGGATTCTACAGATCTTTTTGTGTCCTATCAAACAAATGATTTAACAATTATAATCATGATATTTAATAATATAACATTTAGGTAAGTTGAGATAAGAGGAAGCTCCTTGGGGAATGAATTTATTGTCTTTCTGTGAGTTATTTTTGGGACAGGTTAAATTATTTTTTATTTTGCTTATACCAGTTTTTTTTGCTTGCGGGATCTCTATGTGGTCTATTTAGCTTATGATGGTTCTTTTCAATTTGCAGGGGGATAGAAATTTAACTGGCATTACTCATGTCATAGCTGATGAAGTGCATGAACGATCTCTTTTGGTGAGTAATGCAAAATTTATGGTGTTTCTTAGGAATATCTTCATGATCCTTTGACAAACTTAATTGGCAGTCCAAGACATCTCTCCACGTCTATTGATTATAGAATGACTATAATTACCAAATTCAAGGATTTTCCTGTGTTTTGTTTTTGCAAAGGAGAATCATCCATTTTATATTAAGCATTTGGAGGCTTATTACTTTGCATGGATAAAGGTGATATGGAATGAGCTGGTCTGATGCTTCAAAGGTGTCTGTCTTGTATATTCCCAGCAACGCTGATGTTGACAACTATTGGAAAAGCAAAGACCTATATTCAAGTAAATTATCTGATCATGGGAAGCCTTATCCTTGATAGTTTAAAAATGGCACACAGGTCTCAAACTCTGACTTCTAAGAGAATGTTAGTTCAATATATTGATATAATTGTTGGTTTCAGCCGGAGATGATATAAGAGAATGAAGAGAAAAAAAAACAGAGCACCGTAAAAGAAAAACTGATATATATAGAAAGCTTACATATTCATTGATCATGGACAGTATATAGCACTTAACAACTCTCTGCTAATTACACCAACTACAGCAGACATTACAACTTTCAAAATTCAAAAATCACCACACATGTTACTTCTAATACACTTTACTTAAATACCCTTAATTCCCTAAACACATTATTACACAAAAGCACTCCCATGCACGTTAAGACCACTGCTGCATGTAACCTTCTGCATCTTCCAGACACAAGCTTGCAGACTTGACCACTTGAAATATTTCCAGCAAAGCATCACCACATCAACAATAATTATTCAAGTAAGATGTTTCGTAATTGGCGTTAGAAAGGAAAAAGATCCCAGTTTTCCATATTAACGGGATGGTCTACCTTAATTGGAGGACTCTTGATTGTTGTATCTTAATTTCCTGTTGTCTTCATATCTTCTTAGAGTGAACACTGCCAAAATCAAGCCAACACATAGCTTTCTCTTTATTAATAGGCTATCATTTGTGTTTTGTCTGAGAAGAGCCTGTTCTTACATGTGATCTTTTCTCCCAGAGGTTGTCAAGGATAAACAAATTTTGCATTGATACCACTTTGTGAAACTTAGGAATCAAAATTGACCAGTTTCTTTTCAGAAAACGGAAAATAGATTGACCAGTTTCTTCTCTTACAGGGTGATTTTCTACTCATTGTATTGAAGGACCTGCTTGAGAAGCAGTCTGCTGATGGCTCATCAAAACTGAAGGTTATTCTTATGTATATATGCGTATTTCTGTTTTGTTGTAGATTGCAATATTAACTAAGGCATATTGTATTTGTATGTTGTTTACATGTAACTTTGTTTTGATTCTTTCACATAAACTGAAGGAACTTTTCTTAATTTTCAGGTCTGCCACAGTTGATTCAGAATTGTTTTCAAGATACTTTTGACACTGCCCTGTAATTACTGCACAACGCCAAACACATCCAGTGACAACATACTTTCTTGAGGACATATATGAGAGTATCAATTATCGCCTTGCTTCAGATTCCCCAGCTTCTATAAGATATGAAACCTCTACAAAACAAATGGTATTTTGTTTTTGATTATAATTACCTCTAGAATTTAGGGCAAAGAAGAAAAGTGTTTTTCTTATTATTTCACGAATAGCGAAAAGTGCTTTTCTTATTATTTCACAAATAGCAGTACAACTTTTTATAGTGTTTACAATAGACTAAGTTGGGAAATATCCTTAAATGCTAAAGATACAATCCACCAAACTAGGAAAGAAATAAACTATATTTACATCAAATATACACTTGGCAAAAATAGAATGATCTGACCAAATCAAGGAGATTTGGTCAAAGAATCAAAATCTTCCAACACTCCCCCTCAAGCTGGTCTAAATATGTCTTCCATAGCCAACTTGCACACCATATTTTCGAACTGCTTTTTAGGCAATCCTTTTGTGAGAATGTCAGCCACTTGTAGGAATATAAGGCATGCACATTACTCCAGTGTCTAATTTTTCTTTAATAAAGTGCTTATCGATTTCCATATGCTTTGTTCGATCATGTAACACTGGATTATGTGAGATTGAAATAGCAGCCTTGTTGTCGCAGTACAACTTCATTGGTAGTGGTTTGGTAATTTTCAGTTCTTCTAGGATCTTTTTAATCCAAAGGACTTCACAAATTCCTAGGGCAATAGCTTTGTACTCTGCCTCAACACTACTTCTAGCCACCACTACTTGTTTTTTGCTCCGCCAAGTTACTAAATTTCCTCCCACAAAGGTGCATTACCACGAAGTGGATCTTCGATCAGTTACACTGCCAACCATTTGCATCTGTGTAGGCCTCCACTTGTAAATGCCTTATTTTCTTGAATAATAGTCCCTTTCTAGGTGATCATTTTTGATACTTTAGGATTCTGGACACCGCTTCAAAGTGTTCCTTACCTGGAGCATGCATATACTGGCTCACAAGACTCACTGCAAATGCTATATCAGGTCGCGTGTGAGAGAGGTAAATTAGGCGTCCCACAAGGTGCTGGTACAATTCCACGTCTATTATCTCTTCATCTTTAGCAGGAAGAAGCTTCTGATTAGGTTCTAAGGGAGTCTCGGCAACTTTACAACCAAGTAAACTAGTTTCACTAAGCAAGTCTAGGACATACTTGCGTTGTGACACAACAATACCACTTTTTGATCTAGCAAACTGCCCAAGAAGTATTTTAACTCACCTAGATCTTTAAGCTGCCAATCTCTAATACGTCATCCCCTGTTAATATAATGTCATCAACATAAACAATCAAGACAGGTATTTTTCCTTCTTTAGAGTGTTTGTAGAACATTGTATGATCTGCTTGACTTTGGATATATCCATAACTTCTTACAACACTCGTAAAACGCTCAAACCATGCCCTTGGTGATTGCTTGAGGCCATATAAGGCCTTTTTTAGTTTACAGACCTTACCTTTGCCAAGTTCCTCCTCAAATCCGGGTGGTAGCTCCATAAACACTTCCTCTTCTAATTTCATGTTAAGGAATGCATTTTTTACATCTAATTGATGTAAACTCTAGTCAAGCTATACTGCAAGGGATAACAAAATACGAATTGAATTTATTTTGGCAATAGGGGCAAAGGTTTCTTGGTAGTCAATGCCCTATGTTTGAGTAAACCCTCTTGCTACCAATCTTGTTTTAAGTCTCTCTATACTCCCATCAGGCTTACATTTGACAGTAAACACCCATTTATAACTTATAGGCTTTTTATCATTCGGCAGCTCACTAACCTCCCAAGTCTCATTCTTTTTAAGAGCATTCATATCCTCAAGAACCGCCAACTTCCAGTCTGGATTACCTAAGACTTGTTCAACGTTTTTAGGAATTAGAATTTTGGATAGGTTTGTGGTAAAAGCTCTGTATTTACTGGATAGCTTTTGGTAGGACACATAATTGGAGATAGGATGATTTGTGCAAGTGCGGGTTCCTTTCCTAAGGGCTATAGGTAGATCTAAGTCTGAAAGAGATGAATCAGAAGGCAAAGAAATAGAAGTAGAAATGTTACCTGGTTTATTTTGGACCTCGGCTCCTGGAGTTGATGATTGGTGTTGTGCCATATCTGTAGGTAGATTTTTTCTATTGTGATGGTATCTCTTGCGAGTGTACACACGTAGTTCAGGCTGTGATAGTATTTCTCCCCTTGCATTTGATTCTAAGTTTGACTCCTATAGATAAGAGTTTTCCATATTTTTCTCATTTAAAACACTTATGTCCTGACTAGGTGTTGAACTAGGAAAAAACAAATTAGGCATACGTGTCGACATGTGCCAAAATTGGTCTTCACTCACTGTTTTCTCCCCCTGAAGAGAATTTTGGGCAAAATAAGGTTGATTTTCAAGGAACTTGACATCCATACTTACATAAGTTTTTCGAGTTTGAGGAATAAAACACTTGTAGCCTTTTTTGTTAGAGGCATAGCCTAAAAACACACTTTTCAACCCTGAGATCTAATTTGGAGCCAAAATTGAGCAAGAATATGCACAAACACTATGCAGCCAAATACTTTTAAAGGTAGATTGGGAGTTATCCTATTAAAAGGAAAAAAATCTTTAAAATAGGCTAAGGGTGTTTTATAGTTGAGAACACGAGTTAGCATCCTATTGATCAAATAACAAGCTGTTAAAATTACATCACCCCAAAGATATTGTGGAACATTCATTGAAAACATAATTGGCCTACCTACCTCAAGTAAGTGACAATTTTTTCTCTCCGCAATACCATTTTGTTGTGGAGTGTCACGACAAGTGGAAGTATGAGTAATCTCTTTTTCATTTAAAAAACTCCCTAAGTACATATTGAAGTATTCAGTCCCATTATCAGTGTGAAGCAAACTTATTTTGGTTTGAAATTGATTTTCAACCATATTATAGAAATCCTTAAATAGTTTTTCAACCTCAGATTTTTGATGCATCATATAAACCCAACAAAGACGTGTGTGATCATTGATAAAGGTGACAAACCATTTTTTTCCAGTTAAAGTTGTGATTTTAGGACCCCACACATCACTATGGATCAAGTAAAAAGGCTTAGAAGCACAATAACCAATAGTTTTATAAGAAACACGATGACTTTTAGCAAGATAACAACTCTCACAATGAAAAGTAGTATAATCAATATTTTTAAATAAACTTGGAAATAGATGTTTTAAATAAGAAAAACTAGGATGCCCTAGTCTAAGATGCCAAAGCATTATTTGATCTGTAACAGGGATTGAACTAATACTACTAGTCAAGCCTTGAGCTTGTTTATTATCACAGAGATGACCATCAAAATAGTAAAGACCTTCCAGCAAACTAGCATTGCCAATCATCTTCCCCAAGCTCCGGTCCTGGAATTCACAAGAAGAATCAAAGAAGGTAACACGACAGTTAGAATCCTTTGCCAATTTACTAACTGAGATAAGATTACAAGAGAGTTTAGGTACATGTAACATATTTTTAAATTAAATGTTGTTACAAACAGAGAACTGATTGTAATAATTTTCATATTGTATTGGCAAATTATACATCAATAGATACAAGAGAATAAAGAACTAATCTAGGAAATAAATAATCTAATATAGGAAATAAATATTCTAACTTCCTATTTTACAGATTTGTTTCTTATATGTATTGATTACAATCCTAATATCCTATTATAGATTTATACACTCATATTTTACAGATTTGTTCCTATTACGTATTGATTACAATCCTAATATCCTATTATAGATTTATACACTTAATCATGCAATATTTGTAAGATTTTGCATGATTGTCTACAACACTCCCCCTTAAGATGGAGCATAGATGTTAATCATGCCCAGCTTGTTACAAATATAATCAATCCGAACCCCATTCAAAGCTTTAGTGAAAACATCTTCTAGTTGCTCTCCAGTCTTCACATATCCTATAGAAATTAAACATCGCTGTATTTTCTCACGAATGAAATGACAGTCAATTTCAATGTGCTTAGTTTGTTCATGAAATACGGGATAAGAAGCAATATGAAGAGCGGCTTGGTTATCACACCACAATTTTGCTAGCAAAGAGGCCATAAGACCAACTTCAGTCAAAAACTGATATATCCATATTACTTCACACACAGATTGAGCCATAGCCCTATATTCTGATTCTGCACTAGATCGGGACAACAGTTTGCTTCTTACTTTTCCATGAGACCAAATTTCCACAAATAAAAACACAATAGCCCGTAGTAGATCTCTTATCTATCTTGGAACCCGCCCAATCTGCATCAGAGAAGCACTCAATATTATTATGTCCATGATTTTCGTACAAAATACCACGACCTGGAGCTCCTTTCAGATAACACAGAATCTGTTTTAACGCTACCTAATGGTCAACAATAGGAGAAGACATGAATTGACTTACTGCACTGACAGAGTGCGTAATATCAGGACGAGTGACTGTTAGATAGTTCAACTTTCCAACCAGTCTTCTATATCTCTCAGGATCTTCAAATAGTTCACCATCTTTCGTAAGTTACGAATTAGGAAACATGGGCATACTGCATGGCTTAGCACTCAATTTTCCTGTCTCAGTTAATAAGTCAAGTACATATTTCCTTTGAGAAAAGAAGATGCCTTTCTTGCTCCTTGTTACCTCAACCCCTAAGAAATACTTCAACATTCCTAAATCTTTTGTATGAAACTAAGTGTGAAGAAATGACTTAAGTAATGAAATCCCTATAGTGTCACTCCCAGTGATGATAATGTCATCAACATATACAACAAGAAGAATAATGTCAATTGCCGATTGTTTGTAAAAGACTAAGTGATCAGACTTGCTCTTTGTCATTCCGAACTTTGCAACTACCTCACTGAACTTTCCAAACCAAGCATGTGGACTCTGTTTCAAACCATACAACAATTTGCGAAGATGAAAAACTTTCCCATACTCTCCCTGAGCAACAAATCCAGGTGGTTGCTCCATATAAACTTCTTCCTGAAGGTCACTATGTAAAAAGGCATTTTTTATGTCCAACTGATGTAATGGCCAAGAATGAGTAGTCACCATAGAGATAGATAAG